CACAATCAGAAATCAATGCAAACTAACCATTATTGTATTTACTTTAGAAAATAAAAGTTTGGTTGCTGTCAGAGAGCAGAGCTTCTGGAAAAGCCTTAGCATTGGAGCAGTACAGGCCAAAACTTGATTTGAAATGTTTTTGAAAGGGATTAGATGACTTGGCATTGTGGTTATCAAGGGACTAGACCCAGTGGTCTGTAATATCCCTTTGAATTCTGCATAGAATAAGATGAATTTGTGTAGAGCAACCTCTCTTGACTGGAAATCAACAAGAACTTGTTTGGATTCATCAACCTCATGAGCTTTTTGCTTTCACCTTGAGCACCAGTTATTGCAAGACCCTATTCTGTAAGACTGCATACAGCCTCATGCTTGCTTTTTATGGCAATTAAAGAATAGAAATTACTGGAATAGAGGGAAACTTCATAAAATGGTCATGTTCCTTTTCCTCTTCTCTCTGATAGTTTGGCTTTAGGTAGGAGTGTAGGTAATAGCTTTGCCATTGAGAATCTCTCAAAAGATTTACTTTGCTTTGCCTGACATTAATGCAGACATCTTGAAAGACTGAATGTTGAATGTCTGACAGCCTGGCCCAAATTATGTTCAGAATACATTTTAAAGCATTTTCAGGCATCTTACCGCTCTTTTTGGAATTGTGGAAAAGCTGCCATGAGCTCTTCTATGAACCAGGTATAGCAGAGTTAGTGAACAGACTAGGAAACAAAATTTACCCCAGACTCTTTCCTGTGTTGACAGATCATTCAGGGAACAATTTCTACAGTTCTGCTTTTGCTTCAGTGCCCGGAGGTATAAAAGGAAGTGGGAAATAGGTCTAATCTTTGTTTCTTTTCCTCAGCAATTTTATTTCATGAAAGAACTCCTTGAGCCCTCAAATCCAAATCTTCCTCTGCCAATCTTACTTTCTGCTCTACAGTCTTTAAAAGCACAGAGTGCTATTACAGTTGAATTAGATTGAGAAGTTGCTGTGCTAGCTGAAAAGTTGGCACCACACCTCCTATTCAGTGTGATGCATATTGGTGGTGTCTGTTCAGATAACCTCTAGCTACAGTTGAGTAATACCACAAGTGGGGAAAACCCTAGAGAAATAGGAAAATCCCTAACTGTTTGTACATTGTGTAAGTGTATTTTGCTTAGGCTATTTGCCAAAACAGATATGAATCAGAGATGTCCTCTGTATTGCACTACATTGTACCATCATGTTCAAGATTTCATTTTTGCATAAAAGACACCCACAGCATTTGTGAAAGGAGAAGAAAATTTCCATTCTGGTTTTACTGTTATGTTTTTTTTATTGCATTCATCACTGAAAATTCCTGAAAACAAAAGATATAGAAAGTGGGAAAGGAACTTGGTTCATTTCTTTGAGTTCTTCTTTGAGAAAAATGGTCTCGCTTTTGACTATTTTGCGAAATGATTGTAAAAGAGGAAAAAAAACCCTATGGCATTGTGCAATAAAAATAATCACTTATTAAAAAAAAGAATTGAACTGTGACCGAATGCTTGCTTTAACTGGTAAGTGTTTGAGCAAATGCTTGATTATTTATGTAAACCTTCCCAACAGCTCCTCATCCAGAACTAACCTAAGCACCCAAGAACTACAAAATATCTCCTGACCAGAACAAAAATCACTACTGGATATATTACTTTTTCCCCATAGAGTAGATGAGTAAATAGATACAAGATGTTACTAAAAAGTGATCAGAGATTAGGATTCATGTAAACAATAGTGAAAAAGAATAATTAATTGGGATAGAAGATGTATTTCTGCATCATCCTGCAGCCCCAGAGAAGTTGGTGATTTGTTTTCTCATTTGTAACTTAATTTATTTACATACAATTTGCATTTTTTCAGATGTCAAAACAGGGCATCTTAAACATTGGTCTTTGAATATAGACTAGATGGTCTGATTTTTTCAGATTTTTTGTTTAGTTCAATGGAAATGTTTTTTTATTCAATGAATTTTTGTACTGAGATCATAAAGAGAAGATAGCAGACAACTAGTTTCTTCTGAGAATTTTTTACTTGCAGTTGGGATCTCTCTCAAACCACCTGACAAGAACATTTTCAGTAGTTTGGCTGTAAAATGGGAAGTTAAAAATACAAAGGTAATTTACTAAATTTTCAACTTCATTAGAGATTAATTCCTTTCAGTGAGCAGTAGTTCATCAATTTGCTGATCCAACTGTTAGATTTTCTTAACAGAAAGCTAGCTCCCTAGCTTGCTCACTCACTGAATTGTTTGCAGTTTGTTTTTTTTGCAGTTGTTTACTTGTCTGTTCCATTTCCTAAGGCCATCAAGAACCTCAAGCAAAAGAGGCTGAATTCAAGTTGTCCTTCTGTGTACTCCTGCAGGGTCTGATTAGAAATTAATTCAAAATCAGGGCTTTGGAACTGCAATTAAAATTCCAATGGAGTTTTCTATGAGTTGGCATGTTCCACTTCTATTAGATTAGTGTTACACTGAGTATGTGAGAAAGCTATAGTCTTCTTTCTATTGATGAATCTGCATTGTGAAAATCAGCAAACTACAAACAAAGTCTTTCTACAGAAATTGTAAGTGACAAATATATCAATCAACACATTGCAACAGAAATAAGGTTACATCAGTTACATTTTTTACTCCTTCAGGGGATCTGAGGAATTTATGAAACCATTGAAATAGAAGTACCCCACCTTTAGAACAGTTATAAAAAGAAGTTTGATTTCCTTGGGGGTCCTGATGGATGAAAAGCTGGACATGAGCCCCCTGACTTGGTGTCATCTGTAAACTTACTAGGATGCACTCAATTTCTTCATCCAAATCATCACTAAAGATATTAAACAGGATGGCCCCAGCAGTGACCGCTGTGGAACACAACTAGTGACTGGTCACCAGGGGGATTTAACTCCATTCACCACCACTCTCTGGGCCTGGCCCTCCAGCCAGTTCTTTACCCAGCACAGTATATACCTGTCCAACCCGTGGGCTGCCATCTTCTCCAGGAGAATGCTGTTGGAGACAGTGTCAAAGGCTTTACTGAAGTGTAGTAGACTACTTTGACAGCCTTTCCCTCATCCCCCATCACTCAATCATACAAGGAGATCGGGTTGGTTAAGCAGGACCTGCCTTTTGTACACCAGGTTCTCTAGACCTGATTCTCTGGTTGTCCTGCACATGCTGTGTGATCTCACTCAAAATATAACCTTCCCTGACACTGAGGTCAGGCTGACATTACAACCCTTCTTGTAAATAGGAGCCACACTGGCAAGCCTCCAGTCCTTTGGGACCTCTCAGGTTTACCAGGAACTCTGACAGATGATGGAAAGAGGCTTGGCAATTACCTCTGCCAGCTCCCTCAGCACACTCGGGTGGATGTCCCATGGACTTGTGACGATCCAGGTTGAGTAGTAGGTCTCTGACTGTTTCCACCTGAATTGTGGGGAGGTTTATTCTGTTCCTCATCCAAGATTTCCAGGTCAGGGAGTAGAGTACCCTGAGGATAGCTGATGTGACTTTTAAAGACGAATGTAAAGAAGGCACTGAGGACCTCAGCCTTTTCCTTATTGCCAGTGATCACGTACCCCGACGCATCCAGTAAAGGATGGAGATTCTCCTTAGCCCTCCTCTTACTGTTAATATATTTATAAAAAAGTTTTTTTCCCTTTTGCTGCAGTGGCCAAATGTAGCCATGAAGAACAGAAACAATTCTCAACTACTATGGGTTAAGACCATACATGTGTACAGCTACCACAGGGCTGTCATTTCACACTTTCAGAAATAACATTTTACAGCTGTGTTTATGAGGTGGACAGAAAGACCTGTGGGTGACAGCCACATAGAAGACCAAGTAATAGTTCTTTTATGACAATGCTAGTACTCACCCAGGCTGCCGACTGTATTTGTATACAACTTGAGAACTTCCAAATGTCTGCTGAGAGACTTTTGCTGGCTCTAAATCTCACAGACTGTTGGCTTACTGACAGGATCCTGAAATACTTTAAAAGGAATAACAGCTGCCAGTGCATCTGAGAGCAGAGGAGACAAGGTGATGCCTGCTTCTTTTGCAGTTGTGACAAAAGCATCTCTGTGAATAATGCACTGATTTTTAAAGAAAATGTAGAGGAATATGCTTTACACCATACACCAGAAAGGAACGCTAGTAGAAGTGTTATGTCAGAATGCCAGAACTGCAGGAAAACATATTTTTTGGTTTAGTAGTAGCCTGTATTTAGAAAATGATACATAGTATTCAAAATGATATTTGCTATTTTTATATTCTACAGAATTTTGATGTGTGGTTGAGTGTTTATTTTACTTGGAAAATGGGTGTAGCCTGTCTGAAAGACAGCTGGAAAACTGCTCAAATCTCAATGTCAGGTTCACTTTGCCTCTTACAAAAAAACTTACTCACTTGACATGGTAAGTATTGTGCCTGAGTAATTTCAATTTCAGGATTACGAGCCAGATAGTTCTCAGAAATAAAATGGCAAGTCCTGTTCCTCAGCTTCATTTGCAGTTGATTGTAATATGTCCTGTTGGCCTAATGTGACCTTCCTAAAACTCATCTAATATTCAGAAGTGTTATAGATACCCTGCACTAAAAAATCACTAGGTTTCTTTGCCTGATTTATTTATACTTATGTATATTTATATTTATAAATAAAGTATTGGTAATTTTTTTTTTTTTTTTTTGATCAGGCAGTGTCTCATTGAGGTCTCTATTTGATGGAACTTTGGACTTGTAATGGTTACAACTCAGTAGAAAATACATGAAAATATGGATAACACTGATCTTGTGTCCTCAAACTTATCTGGATATCATATTAAGTGTTTGCACTGTATTTGAAAATGTGTTCTGATTTCAAAATCTATTTGTGTTAAAATGTGCTTACTTTTTAAAAAAGTATGTTTATACTTGTGTATAATGATTAAATAATATTTATTTTTATCATCACCTCAGAAAACCTATTATAATATATATATATTTTCTGTTTGCAGGGGATTCATTGTAAAAGCAAACCTTCCAGTGAGTATATATCATTCACTTTTTGCTACATTTATTTTGAAAAATAAAGATGATTTGTTGCAGATAATAGATGCACTTTCCTGGTCACTTCAGATCACTGTGTCATAGAATCAAAGAATCATAGAATCATAGAATGGCTTGGGTTGGAAGGGACCTCAAAGATTATATAGTTCCAATTCCCCTGTCATGAGTAAGGTTGCCTACCACTGGATCAGTCTGCTCAGTATCCCCATCAAGCCTGGTCTTGAATGCCTCCAGGAATGGGGCACCTACAACTTCTCTGGGCACCCTGTGAGTAATGAATTTCTTCCTAACATCTAACCTAAATCTCCCCTCTTTCGATTTGAATCCAAGTTTCCCTGTACACAACATAGGAAATTGGTAGGCTGTAGTAAATAATAGGTTAATAATAGTGCATTATTGGTTAAGGTTTCTTAACCATAGATAGTCATTGGGAGCATTTGCTTTGACATTTCACTCACATGTTTACATTGCTTTTATTTATTATTTTTGGCTACAGTAGCAATATAGACTCTTGAATTTTCTAAACTCTGAAGCCTCCATCAGTCACTCCTCCAGTGAGCAGACTTGCTTGACAAGGAAGTACGACGCAACTGCCTTGCAGGCTGTCCCCTTTCAGGGGATGGTTGTACCTGAAGTCTCAGCTCTGAATGCTGCTTATCTTCAGCAAGCCTTTCCTGGATTCTCATGGCAGAATACCCATGGACAGAGAGAAGCTCTATTTGAAAACCACAAGCATGTGAGGTTCTGGTGCTATAGGGTGGGGCAGTGAGCTGGATGACAGTTGTCCAGAGTCTTATTCTGAAAGCATGATGTTTACCGGACACATACTGTTGAGGAGATGGCTTTGGGAGGGATGCAATTAAAAGTCCCTCTTGAAAAAGTCATTACCTTCTACCAGTAAAGAGGTTGAACCATCAGTGACTGGATCAGGCTGTGAATGAGCCTTATTTGGGTTGGACAGCTGACCTGCTAGTTGCAAAAACTGCATGGAAGGAGGCACAGAATAAGAGATAAATTGGGACACTGAACTTTGCCAAGCTTTTGGGTAGCACAGGAGGAAATCAAACCCTATAACTCTGGCCTCTAAGGGAAGGACACTTGCAATACTGTTGGTTATGAGCTAAAATAATTGCTAGGTATTACACAAATGCAAATCTAGATAGTGGAGACACTACTGGTAACAGAAGGTGGTGATTCATTCTTAGGGCAAAGTGAGTTATATGCTGGGAGGAAGGCAAGAGGGGTTCTTCCTCTCCTTTGCCTGCCAAAGGTATCACCTTATGATGTGTATGAGCTTAAACTAGCTGTTTAACTCTGAGCTGGATATACTCTTTGGGTCTGTAGATCTTGTAAACTCAAGATCCTTATCTTGCAATACAGTGTACACCAAGCAGAGCTGGTTGTAGGTTTTCAGTGCTGCCTGTAAATGGCTTATCAGCTATCTTTAATACGAGCAACATGTAGGATGACTCAGCCTTACCGGCATGATGAAAAAACATTTTTTTCAGTCTTCATCCTAGTTGTCTTGTGCAACACTGGGTGTATACTTATTTCCATACTTCCTTTTCCATAGTCATACTTTGTATTAATTATTTTTTGAGGTAAAATTACCTCAAAAGACCTTTAATGTGTAATACTGTGCAGTAGTCATTGCTTTTAGCTGCACCAAAAAGATGACTTTATTCTGCAGAATTTATGGATATCACCTCTGTAGTGTTTGGCAGAAGAGCTTCTGCCTTCTCCATCCCCTTCCTACAAACTATTAGAAGTACATTAAGGCTACCGCAGTATTTAAAATTAACTGTACTTTTTCAAGATCCTTTAATATTAAAATCACTCAGAAAATATATTTGACATAGTGTAAGATCATGCCATTCATGATTCTTGCAAGTCTGAAATACTTCCTGAACATACAACTGTGGAATTCTTCTTAATTTACTCTGCATTGAAATCTATTGTAAAAGAGAAAACTGAATTGTAATCAATTTCATAACTGGTTCAAGTACTTTTAAGTTGCAGATTTTGATATTTGTTAACATAAATGCATCACATTGTTATCTTAGGTGAGTGTACCTAGTTTGTTTATGAAGACTGTTGAGTCATCATAATGCACAGATGCAGCAGATACTGTGGTAAATCATATGCAAATTGGTTTGAAATGTTACTGTAATTTTTACTTGTGGAATGATGCCCCAGTGAAGCAATTTCTGTGCACAGTAGATAAGCTAACAGATTTATCCCTGTTAATATCCTAAGTAGTTGAGATTCTTACCATTCTTGTAGGGAAGAAATACCAACAAAAAAGAAAAAGAAAACAGTTAGGAGTTTCTTTTGGGAGCTGCCCTGGGCCTATTCTTAATGAGTTTTATCTGCATTTTTTTTTTCCCCATTCTCCAATTTCGTCTTCTTGCCTGGGGCTTCAAATTATCCATCCAATCATTTCTATTGCGTATTCATTGCTCAGCTCTGACTTCTATTATCCAAGGATACATAAGGTGTGTTTTGCTGTCATGACAGTTCTAGGTTGATTGCTGCATCAACAGATAAAAACATAATCTGCTGTGGTTAAGTACAAGGAAAGTGTCTACATGCTGAATAATAAGTCTTGGCTTCTTTATGCCTCGGTTTATATCTGTCCATAATTAAGGATTCTTTTATTACACCAACAATCCTTCTCTCATGTAAGGCTAATTACAGTTATAATTCACAAACATAAAGTTTAAGCAAGATTTACTCAGAATATGGTTTGTGTAGCCAGGTGTACCTTAATGTCTTCTGGGGTATAGATCAAACTACTCATGAGAAAGAGGTGTGTGTCCTAGAGGAAGCTATTTAAGGGGGGAGGAGGATTAAAATATGATAAGGAGACAGTTGACTGAAGAATTAGTCAGAAGTGAGTCCCCTTTTGTGATTACTTAAATGTCTGTGATGATTTGTGGCAAGGAAATTCTTTTCTGTAAGCTCTTTCCTGTATCATGCATTTATTGAGATTCAAGCTAGTGTCTTCATGCATTATATGATCCATTTAATTTTTGATCCATCCATTTTTGATGAGTTTCATGGCATCTTTTGCAATTCCCAAAATTAATGGAAAAAATTCCTAAAATTAAAGGAAAAAAATCCAAAGTGAAAGAGTATTTTCATTTTATCCAGTGTATTACTTGCTTGTTTTCAGTTGAATGCAAAAACCATGACCAGGAAAAGCAGTGTTCCTGCTTACTGATGCAGTAGTTCTAAAACTGTTTGTACAATCCACTGTTGGTAATGCACCTAGTTATGACCTGGGATTCTCCTTAGAGAGGCCTCTGGTGTCTGATAATCCTATACCTCAAGCAGTAATAACTAAGGATAAAATTCAATTGGCTCAAAGCAATCTCCCCTAAAAATATATAGGATCAAATAATATGGTCAAATTCACTCAGATTCACTTTGTCAAGAAATATCACATTCCTCTTCCCTTGAATCATTTCTACACAGTTACAAAAGTAGGCAAGGTAAAGCCTTGATCGAGAAATTTACATTGACAACTGAGGAACTAAATTAAAATAATTTATTGGCTTATTTCAAATACTGCTTATTTTCTTATGAAAATAACATAGACTGGTGCACATAACTGCATGTCATTCAGCATATTCCATGTAGGTAAATCTGGCAGCCCTGATCTGAAATGGGTAGACCTGGTGGTTGAAGAAGTCCAAGAAAATGTGTTTTGAGCAAAGATCTGGAAAAAAACTAATCATTACATTTTTAGCACGTGAGTAATAATTGTTATCAAGTAGGTCTGCAATTTAATTAACTGGGTGGATTGATTGGGTGTTGTAAAATAACTCTTCATCCTGAGACAGCTTGAGGATTATTACACAACCCATTCTTGGAAGATGGAATAGAGTGTTCACACCTAGCTGCTACTCAGAGTACTTCTTAAGTCTGCTTAATCTCTGTTGAAACACATTTAAAAATTCTCCAAAAGTCCATGTACTCTTCTTATGGCCTCATTTGTGTATTCTGAATCATCGGTGCTTGTTCTTTCTTTTGCTTCTCTCACTGCTGGTATTACCTTGGATAATTGAGAGTTGGCTTAACTGTCACTTCAGGTGAAGTGTCATTGTTTTCTCACTTTTCCACTTACTTGAGATCAGAATAACCTGTTACCTCCACAGTGTGCTCAATGGCAAGAAAACCACAGGCTAATGAAGTGGAGATTCAGGTGTTTAGTATTTTCTGACTTGTGATATCTCCTGATACCAAGTGTGAGGGCACTTTGAGGCCTGGCAGAGTTAAGCCAAAGTGCAACATTTATATCAGCCTGTCTCCATGTTCTGCATATATAGGAATTTGGTCCCTGACAATAGGCTCCTTCTTGAAATGGGAAGTGGAAGTGCTAGAAGTGCTCTTGTACAGCTTATTATTCTTCTGGTCTTCGCACTTAAAGAACTTTTCTTTACGACTGAAGGAGTAAATAAGAATATGCTTTGTCCTTCCATCCTACCTTTCCTCTGGGAGAACAATGGATGCATCTTCCATGTGAGTCAATGAGAATCCATGCCTTGATAATAATTATTGGCTAGGCACTGAAGAGTGCATACTTTTCTAATAATTTCAGGTAGGATTGTTGGAATGTGAGGAAATTGTCCCAAGCTGTGGGAGAGGAGAGACCATGGCAGGTCAGGTTCACAATTGGTCTTCATGATCTCAGAGGTCAACCTAGACAATTCTATGATTCTATGCTATTCTGTATTTTTATGGCAAGCACAGTACCATGCCATTGCACCTACATACTATGCTTTTCTCCATAATAATTGGACGCCTTCTAGGAGTATGCTTAGCAGTATGACTAACAACAGTCAAAAGTTTGAAAATGAGAATGAGTTGTGAAATACTTTGTTTTACTCGAGTGTTTTTCACTTTCATACTGAAGTTAGGAGGATAATAAATATTTCAAAGAAACTGATAGCATGTAGTTGCAGATAAAATGAGTGTGCTGCATTGTAAACCACAAAGCCAAGGAACAAAACCCAATTCCCTAGCTATTCACTTTGACAGTCTCTTGATCTCTGGTTTTTGAGACTACAACAGTGCATTTGAGATAGAGAAGCCTCAGGAATGCACTGGGGATTACATCCACTGTACTAACATAAACTCATACATGAATAATCAATTCCTTTGTTAAGCAGCCTGGGAAGTAGAAAGAGATGAAATATGGTGAAATATGGCTAACTGGTGAGACATGGGACCTGAAGCCTGATTCTTCTTTTACATTAGTTTACAGAAGGCTGATGTGCAAACACGTGTCCAAAGGATTTGAGGCAGGACTAAATTGGCACAAGAAAATGAGATGAGGCATAGTAGTTCTATTTAGAGGCTTCTGTTTTGTTTTGTTTTATTTTTGTTTTTCATCTCTTACTGGAAAGAAATCTTGTAGGTGTGGGTTTTTTTTTCATCACTAGGAATGCAATGGTGCCCTCTTGTGTGAAAATCATATTTAACATCAGCTGAGACTATCCGCCATTGACTCTTGAAAGTGAAATACTACCCATGAGGGTACTCACAACATTCAGGCAAAGTTTTTTGAGAAAAAAAAAAAAAAAAAGAAAAGCTTATATGATTAGTCTAGCCATGATTTGAAAGATCTAGTTACTTAGAAGTGCTATTAGTCTAGTTGCACTCTGCTAACCTTAACTGTTAGAAATATGATTTTCTTTTTTGAGTTAATACTTTCCTAAGCCAGGAAATTTATTATCAAATCCCATCTGTAACACAGTTCTTTCCCACTGCATTTCTAGTGAAGTCAGTCAGCCATGAGCTTGCTGTGGTCACATGAATATCTTAGGTAAAATATTGGTTTTACTGAAGACAGTGGTGACTTCCCTACTGATTTCTCAAGAGCTGGATTTCCATCTTTGGTGCTTCCTTCCCCAGAAATATCCTGTGCACACTGTGACTTCTCTTCGTGTTTTATATTTGCAGGTGGCATTTTTAACAGCTTCTGCCACAGTGCTCCTGCATCTTTGTCTTCTATGGTACTGAAGAGCATGAAGATCTCAACAGTTATTAAATGTGTCCAAGGAAGCCCATGCTCTCTTCATTTAAACATTAAAGGAACTCTGAGTCTGGATGGTAGGAAGCAGATTTGCTACTGAATCATTTCTGTTTACTTCTTGCTGTTTTTCTGCCTATTTTTGTTCCGTAGTAATGCTTGTGTCCAAGCTATTTTCATGTGGTTGTATCAGATTTTTTAATGGAACTTTTTAACTACAAACCAAGATAAAGCCCTGGAATTTCTCAAAGGAATGAGATCTTAATTTTTTACATCCAACATATTACAGTTTTCTCTACCAGTGCCCCTGTAGTACTGCTGCTCTTTCTTTCTTGCTCTCTCACATGTGAATATTTACACGCACACTGATACCATTTGCCCTGGCAACATGGGCATGAGTGACTGCACCAAGAGAAGAAACTGTATTTTGTTCTGAAGTTCCAATTCTAAACCAAAGTAAAATGAAAGCACTCAATTTTTTGGGGCACAGTTTATTTTTACCAACATCCTGCCATTCATGTACTTACTGTGTTATTGTTTAGATATTTCCTGGTGTGCTTCACCCATTGTGTGATTTGTGCTTAATCATTTGCATGACAGTTTGCATAATTAAAGCCTTAATTCATAGCAATCTGTATTAAATCCATGGAGGCTTCCTCCTCCATGTACATGTTATTACATGCTGTCCCCCTTTTTTTACACAGATAAAATATGTGTACTTTTCACTTGGAAAGATTAGAATATGGTGTATCTTATTTTTCTGTTAAAGATGTTCAAATCGCATTTTTGAAATGTATTCCTAACTTATTTCAGAAAATATTCGTGGGCTGGAAATATGTTCTTTTTCACTGGACACACAGCGATCTCAGTGCACAAATGTGAGATTTGCCAGGAAAAAAAGCAAGATACTTAATGGAAAGAAGGTAGACTCATTTTTATGGGGTTGTTTTTCATTTAAATGTTTATAAACTTTTGGAAAAAACATAGTTTTTGTATTTCTCCTTACTGTCTTAACGTTTCTGTGGAAAACAGCAATGAAATATATGCTTCAGTAGTGTCAAATGAAACTTTGTAACAAATGTCTTCTGTATGTGATTCTCCACCATTTTTAGACTTCTTCCACTTTTACCAAGAGAAGATGCCTCTATAAATTCTACTTTTCAAATTGATCTTGTTTTCTTTCTTATTGTACCCACCAAATTGTGGGGAAGCTGTTGTTACTCCAATTGCTTGGAAGCATAATGTCACAGGGACCATTAGTGCATATTCTCACGTCCCACTCACATTTATTTAGATCCAGCCATGTCAATAGAATTTACACATCTAGAAGACAGCCAAGTGCCTAAACACTTGTACACATCTGTTCTAAACTCATAATAATAATTGCAGCGGCAGAGTGTGATTTTGTACTAAACTAAACCCAGAAGTATTTGTTATTAAAATCTGCAGCAGGAAAAAAAAAAAAAAAAAAAAAGGCAATCCTTGACCCACTGTTTAAAAGAGGAATTTTTGCTTTCAGCTAGTGGTGAATAACTGTTATTAATCCCATACAAAACATGTTACTTCATGTGCTCTGTTATATTGACTGCATGTGCGAAAGCAATTTCTACTCCCAAACTGCAATTGCAGTCTACACTCAGTATCATCAGTTGATGATCAAAAGTCCCTGCAGGCAGTGCAGGGCTGGCAATCAACAATTATTGGCTTTCAGAGCAAGGAGAATTTTATAGGTGTGACTCAACCAATGCATTTAGGAAGCATACTTTCAGTTTTGCGAGTAATCTTTTACCCTCCAAAGGCATTTGTGTCAAATAGGAGTTAAATACATTCGGAAGTTTATACGGAATACAGTAGTTACTGCTATCAGTGAGGAAATGACCAGCTGTAATTGGACCTCAACTTTTGCCTCCTAAAATACTTTCCCAGAACCTTACTGGAATGAATAAATTTGCCAAAGTTGATGCTAAATGTTTTAACAGACATGTTTTCCTATTCTGCAATTGTTTGTGCTTCTAAAATGCTTACAGCTCAGGACTTTTGGTAGTATAAAATACATTTTATCCTTTTTTTCAGTTCAGTGAGTTCTGTGCTTTTCCTATTATTTGATAGTTCATCTTTGGTTTTCTGGAAGTAAAGATGATGGCAAGCTCCAAGATTAGAAGAAATTACACGCTTTGAAATCCTTTAATTAAATGGCATCTGCTTCCTTTACATTCTTAATGCTACAGTATCTCAAAATGCTTAATGCTCCTTGCAAATGTAAATCAATTTAAACAAAAATATTGCTTGCTTAACTCTCATAACTAGTGGTTCTCATGCATTCTGGAAGTCACACACAAACTTTGTTTTCTAAACGTTTTAAACAGGTGCAGGTTCAATTCAATTGCTTTGAAGTCAACGTAGCACAACACATCTATGTGACCATGAAAACAGTACCAAATTACTGTGAAGTTAAGATGAGTCAGGAATACTATGTTGAAGGTAGGAAAACATCTTCAAACAAATGTTTTTCAAAAGCCATCTTTTCAAAGAGAAAAACAAACCAAACAAAAAAAAGCCAAACGTTCCAAACAAAACCAAAATCTCAATGCAAAGGCAAATCACATTTTGGAATACGCTGACCTAAATGGTACTATTTTATGTCTGACATAATCAGTATTATTCTACATTTTGGTGATTTATTTGGTGTGTGTAAATGTCTGACTTGCCAAAAACAAAACAAAACAAGATCGAACAACACCAGATACCAGAGTTTGTTTCAAATATTTCAAAATATTTGGAAAGCTACATTATGCCTTTCTCCAAGATTGCATTCCTGTGACTGGAATGTGATCGATCTCTGCCAGTAGGCTCAGTCCTGCATGATCTCTGTGCATAAGATGGAAATTCTGCTGTCTTCTGTTAGGCCCCAGGTGGTTCCAGAGCTTTTGGAAAGTTTAATAAGGAAGTGTAAAGAAATATCTTCTTTTCACTAGCGATCTGTTCTGTCACCTGTTTCTATATGAGTGAGATAAGATACCTTTGGTCCTTGTTTTGGTGTAAGTTGCATACTGTATGCATATTGAAGTAGATTCAGTATAAGTGGTCCAGTGGCTCAGTGTGGCAAGTGGTGGTGCAAAAAGTGAACTGAGACCCCTCACTCAGCCCATTGCCTGTGCTTGTCCTGCCATCCCATCGCCACTGTCTGTGGGCTGCTGCCCTCGCCCATGGCCATTGGTGCACTACCATCCCTTGCATACTGTATCAGACATTTTGTGTCTGCTCAAGTAAAGCTTTGCTCTGTTTAAAAAGCATTTCATTTTTTTGCTAAAGCCTCCCTCCAGTTCACTACTGAAGGAGATACGTTCTTTATGAATGACAAGGGGAAAAAATAAAGCTTTATAAAGCCTAGTTTTAAACAAAGTGAAATGAAAACAAAGGAAAATGTTTTCGTATGGAAAATCGCAGTGTGAGGGCAATTAAAGCAAAATACTGCTTAATGTACATTTAAGCAAAATATTTTAAAATCAAGATTTAGATTGTGAAGATACAAGTATTGGATATTAGTTCTGAAGGTGCTGGTTGGCCTCTAGTTCTGGCAGGCTCCCTGGGAACTAAATGAAGGTAATTCTTTGCAACTCTAGAGGAAAACCAGAATTGAAAAACTACAGTTGTTTTTAGCAGAAGAATGAGTCTAGTAAACAACTGGAGTGAGTTTCAAGGAAAGGATAACTGGAATTGTTATTACCTATGTTATTGTTAGCTACTGGGTAAAGAAGTGCACTGTTGTATCCTAGCTTGCCACCTTAAATTGCTGAAGAGGTTTAACAGTAGAAACCCCACAATGGTGAGATAGCTCCCTAATGCAAGTTAAGACACAGTCAGTGTGTGTGGTACTTCCTTCACTTCCTTCTCTATCTAGAAGTGGATCAAAATCTACCTTTAAAAGGGATGAATGGAATTGTTTTAGTGTTGGGAAACTATTGGATAATTTGGAAGTCTTACCTACACGCCTATATAAAAAAAGCAATACTGAAGAAAATTCTGGTCTCTATTTTACAGATTGCAGAAACAGTGATGTGGGAAAGCATATTCCAGCTTGTTTGGGTGAGCTCATTTTCTGTATAACTTGAAGTTGTGGGATATTTCTTGTAACTTCTACAATGATATGTTTTCATAGCTGAATGAGCAGAAAAAAATATTTACAACTGCTATTTAAAATTACACTTTGGGTATTTCACAAAAATTCAGTGTTTTTCTATATTGACTTGTACATGCTAGATAGCAGATAAGGATGTTGACAATCTATTCAGTACTTAAGCATTTGGAAGCAGGTTTGTGTCTTTTTCATGACCTACAGATTACAAGTTTCATATTTTGTCTATAAACAGATCTCATAAATAAATTAAAGCGAATTGGTCAAGTTGCTGTCCTGATCTTGAGATACCTGTGAATAAGCATAATGAAGAAAAAGCCCCCACATATTGTATTTGTCCAACATGGTTGCACATATTCTCAAAGAAATGAGATTTCAGCCTTAGGATTATCAGCTTTTGAAGTAGCATTAGTGTGTGTATTTTGGGTATTTGTACATGAACTACATAAGATTTCAAGTAATGAGGCTGAGGTTCAATCTGTAGGTGTCTTGGCTTCTCATTATTGACAGTGTTAATTAAAAATTAGTAATGTTGAAATTCATTCTTTTGAAAAATATCGTATGTCATATAATAAGATTACGTATAGGAATATCAGAATATAAAAAGAATGATTTCAAATATCCTAGGTAAGAAATGTTTTTAAGTACATTCTGTATTTTTGTAAAGGAACAATGAAGTCAAAAATATACAAAGTAATAAAGAATTAGATAATAATTTGATGTTTGAGTTTTCTTTTTCAGCTGGAAAGTTAGACTATAATGTAGACAGGACAAGAAAAATCATATCAGTGAATGTATCCAACTTTCTTCGAGATCAAGATTATTACATTCGTTTGTGTCACAAATGGTTTACCTGTGAAGATGTGGGACAATTTGCTGTGGTGAGTAAAGGCTTGAAGCATTGCTTTCTTGAGGTGTCTGGGGTAGAAATGCTAATTGAGATCATACTTATATGAAATGGTCTTCTGTGTCTTTATTAACTTTATTAAATTGGCCTGGATCAGTGATCATCTTTTTCATTTCAGGTAAGAGGAAAGGATTCTTTAAAATCAGTTTCTCTGAAGTACTCTCAGCTACTTCCTTGTCTTTGCATTGAAGTAAGTTTGGATTTTATATATGATTGTATTTCTGATTAAATAAATTTTATATGGTTATGTGCTAAAAAAGGTGGGAAGATCTGTAGGAAAATGCTCTACTGCTATGTTTTTGACTAAAGCGTTTGACCTTATGGTTATGAAAAAGTTGAACAGATTTTTCAGAAAACACTAATTAAGGATGGAGATAAAAGGAAATTAATTTATACAAGGTTAATTTAACTGAGTTTTTATAAGTAATGAAAATACAGCATGTTTAATTTGAATTTCAGCATAGCATTTGAGGTAGTTTCACATTCAAAGCTAAGAGATGATTTGAGGAAGCTGGGGTAGATAATACTTCCTTGGAGAACTAATTCAGCTGCTTCTATTGAATGGTGCAGTGATTATAGGAAGGTAATTTAAGGATCACTCTCAGGTCTTATATAAATGTTTTCATCAGCCACAAGGGCACAAAAGGAAGGAACGTGTTAATGAGATTTGCTGGTAATACAGTTGAGTGGTACAATCAAAATAGAAGAGAATCTGAATAATCGGAAGAGAATAGAGATCTTCATATAGGAAATAACTAAATGAGGATAAAGTGTAATGATGTGAAGTACAAGTTCATGCATTTGCTCTAATAAAAACACTTCTAATATTAGTCCTTGTTTGGAAAAATATAATACTTCATCATAGAATGATTGATTAAAGGAACATGCTTACATGATGTAAATGTGAAAAAAGATTTAGGTGGCAAGATTATCACAAGTGAGCAGGAATCACAGAATCACAGAATCACA